GCGAGCTCAATGAAATGTATGGCTGTGAAGCACATTAGTTCAGCTCATTACTGTGGCATTGGAGCCACCAAATTGCACACACACACAAGCAAAGAAGTGTGTTTCCACACTCAAAAGTATGTGTGACATACATTTTACATCAATTTTGCCTTTTATTAATCTTGCCATATGCACAGGAAATAGCGTATGCACTTTTTGTGGCACATTTTTGCACACACCCTGTATTTATATATCAGGCCTATGGCCTCAATTAATTTCTTTTCTAAAGTGGACAAAGAGTGCAATCAAGAGTGGTTATCATGGCTACAATAAAGTAATCAACTGTCATTTTAGCAGAAAAGAAAACAGAACCAGGTATGATTTTTCTCTTTAACAGCAAATGGCTTGTGCAGGATCCATTTAAATAAATGGTACTTATTTAAGCAAGCAAGTGTAAGGTTATGAGACAATAAAACCTCATTGTGCAGCTAAACTCATCTCTTCCAAAACATTTTTAAAATTGTAACACATTCCTTCTATGTGTAGGAATCTTAAAAGTGGAGAAGCATTAAAGAAAAGGGGAAAGAGTGTGCATTTTTTGCTTATCCTTATCAAGTTAAAGGTGAAAGTTAAATATTCCTCTTTAGAACCAATGTGAATCTTTTAAAGAAAATACAACATGAGAATTTTAAAATTAAAGTAGGAATGGTGTTTTGACTTCAGTGGAAATGCAGGTGATACAGAGTGAAGAAGGTCATTTGCTTGCTCATTTGCTGCCTAAAGATGATTACATGAGTACACAGAATTTAAGTAATCCAAATTGCATACAATTAACGGTGATTCAATTATTAGGTGCTCTAGGTGAGCTGTGAATAGATATAAAACATAATATACACTTATAATACACAAGACAATGAAATTATAATAAAGTTGACCATGTTAACATCACAAAACTGTCTTATTGCCTTGCCTCAAAAGGCTGTGTGATTCACATTTTCTCTCACTAAGGCAACAATTCTTGTATCTTGAATGTTCATGGGGAAATTTGATCTTTTTTTCTGTTTCTCTCTCTCTCTGAGCACTGAGCTGAGTGTGTGTGTGTGTGTGTGTGTGTGCGTGGCCATGAACATAGTCAAGTCAAAGCTGAGCAGAAAGTGGTGAGCAAGCTGGAAAATTGCAACATTATTTGTGTTAAAAAAAAAAAAAAAAAAAAAACGTTTTACATTATGTTACTGACTGACGACCGTGCCAAGGCCGTGAGCCCAAATAAAAAGCTTATGTGTACTCGGCTGGGTTCTGTAAGTGGTGTACTGCCAAGATTACTACACATGGTAAGAATAAACCTTCATAAAATATAAGACACAGCATTTTAACACTCCTATTGGGATTGGCAAATCCCATAAGATCAACTTACTTTTTTTTTCTTTAAAAAATAATTAATGTCAATACAGTAACACTTTCTATGAAGCCCATGTTCATAATGAATTATAGCCTCATTTATAATTATTTATAAGCAGGTATTACTGTTCTATAAATACATTTAAAAAGACACATCAACACCTATACTTCATTATAATAACAGTTATAGTTACATTTATATTATTGTTATAATTACTTATAAGTGATGCACTTGCTTTTTTAATGCCCATGCTCATAATGCATTATACACTGATTTGTGAGTATTAATTAGTCTTATGGTCCCATGAATGTATTTATAAAGAAGAAGCATCATAAATACATTCATGGAACCATAAGACTGACTATTTAATCCAAACAATCCAATAACAACAATCTAAATATCTACTGCTACAGGAGGTGCCAGTACAATGTAGTGCAAGATACAGTATGTGTAGGAATAAAAGAGAGAATTTTAACAAAATTAAAACTTAATCAAATTAACGCAAATGCTTGCCCTAAAACATAGCATTAATTAGCTACATTAATAATTACGTCAGCAGAAGGTCCTCACAAGGATCGTAACACAAATGTGTGTGTGTGTGTGTGTGTGTGTGTGGTGATTTTTCATTGTATTGATCTTTCTAATTGCAGTGTCTTGGTTAAACGATGGATCAAGGAAGTATAGTGCAACAATACAGGCACTAATGGATACACTGAATTAATTATCCAAGCATTCACAAGTGCGTTAGTGAGTGAGAGACAGTGTGAGAGTATTTATAATAAAATATTGATCAACATGAACATTTAAAAAATTAGGAAAAAAGCACTTTCTTTGACACAGATGCCAATAGAAACGTGCCAGGAACGGGCTATGGTGAAATTAGATCAAAACATCTTACAACCTAGGATGTTCATGGAAAATAAGCAGGCAAGCTAAAACATCATGTAAAATGCAGTATAAAATATGAATATATAACGTGAAATATGATTGCGGAATATTTAAGCTTTGGGACTACATCTTGATGTTTCGACCCTCACATAGAGATGTGAGAAAACATTTTAAATTGCTGCAATTTTAAGCAGCATACATTAAACACCACCTCCTTTTACTGCAGAATCGTGTAGATTTATATATATGCAACAGGTTGTTTTGAGCCTACATGTGGTGTGAGCTATGATGATACATCCGAATAGTCAAATAATGTTTCTCTTAACAGAGCATGTGCGTTAATTGCAATAATTATACCACAGCACACTGTGGTATACCATGTGAAAGCATCTTAAATATAGTTACCTAGTATTATCTTTTATAAGATTACAATAAACCAAATATAAGATTATTAAACCTATTTTTAGACATGTTGTTACTAATTTCAAGCTTTAAACACACAAAGACACAAAGATTATTTTAAGCTTGAAATTAATAAAAAAAAAAAAAGTTGTAGAAATAGGCTTTAAGATTCTCATATTGAGGTGTAATCTTATAATAGGATAATTTTACACAAATTTGACTATATTCAAGATATTTTCATTTGCTAAGATGGTTGAATTCTCGAATCAAAAGGTGCACTACAAAAAAAAATCTTAGCAAGTGAAAATATCTTGAATATAGGCAGATTTATTTAATATTCCCTATTATAAGATTACCATAAACCAAATATAAGATTATTACACCTATTTCTATAGTTTTTTTTCTTCATTTACTTATTTCATTTCAATTGGCAGATAATTTTTCTCACTTTAAGCATATTTTTCTAGAAAGAAGCAAAATTATCTGCCAATACATTAAGAAATGTAAAACTTAAAATGAGTAAAAATGTCTCAAAATACGTTTAATAATCTTATATTTGGTTTATTGTTATCTTATAATAGGAATTATTAGATACCTTTGACTATATTCATGATATTTTCACTTGGTAAGATGTCAGTTTTTGCAATATGTTGATTAATTTTCCATAGCAGCACAATTCTGAAGATCTACAGCTGTAACATAAATGAAGGGTTCATTATAATGGGCGTGTTCTAATACATTATTATATTAGAAATATTTTTAACCACAAAATTGAATATCTTTGTATTTTAGAACATGCACATAAAGCTGCACATAGCTGCACTTTATTCCACATACAGTTCATACTTTTTCTGCTATCTCTCTTTTATATGTTTACATTTTTTATATATTTTCTTTTTCTACTTCTATGTAAGTAAATTCTGTTTTTATGTAAATTCTGTAATTTTGGCACCAGAAAGTCATAAAAAGCATTTCACTGCATGCTGTACTGCGTATGGTTGTGTGTGTGACCAATAAAATTTGATTTGATTTGATTTGATTTGTTCCTGCCTAATATTAAAGGGATTAAAAATGTGTTGTTATGATGTATAACAAAAAAGCATATAATCACTGATATTGTGAAGTTTTCTGTTAGAGATGTTTATTTAACATTTATGGAAGGTGTGTCAGTGCTTTGTAAAAGTCAGTAAGTTTCCCAACACAGAAGTTAACTCCTCTTATCACTTACATTATAGTAGTTATACACAAACATTCTCTTGCCAGTCTCTCATTTTGTTTCTGTCTTGAGGTTAATGAGAGGAAAAAAAAGCTGCTTGTAATGTTACTCAGAAACTGATGAGTTCATGTGTATGAATGATAATCTGTTGTTATGTGGAAGTCATAGTTAAACTAGCATCATATTTGAATGTATTTCTTATTTTCTTTCATTTATTAATTATCTATTTTCTATTTAATGCCCAAAATGAATTTTGTATCCCAAATCAGCCTAGTACACAACAACAGAGGTGTGAAGAACTATATATTAGTGTTTCACAGGTCAGATGATTGCGAACCTAAATTCATTGTTTTATTTCATGCTAATCATGGCAACAGGTAAGTCTGGGGCTTAGGCACAAAAAAAAGTCAGTGCATGTGCAATAACATCATATGCCATGCCATTTGATTATTTCATTGTAATAAAAAGCCGATTGTCATTTAGTTTGTCTCATTTCTAGCAAGGTGCTCTCTGGAAAAAGAGAGGAGAAAGCAGATGGGACCAGATCTGTATGTAGGTTGCTTTTTTAAATCACCGTCATCTTTAAATTGAGCTCATTAGATATATGAGAGAACATGCTTTAGAGAAATTATCTACTTCATCTGATCCATCAAGGTTTACTTGTTTCTTTGACAAATGAAGCACATGTTCTGAATGATGTACAATTTTGTTTTATTGTGCTAACATCTCTCTAACAAGATTACAGCTTGAGAGTATTCTTAGACCCTGACCTATTTGTACTAGCTTAAAGACATGCTGTAAACTTCTTCTTTTAAAACTTTTTCTAAAGTTGTTGGTGTAATATTTGGAAAAAAAAAGTTCTATCTCCCACCTCACAGATAAACAAGATTTTATAAGGTTGCCAGCCAATCATCATCCAAGATGAAAATAGGATGAACTTAACGTAGGCAGCACAGTGCAATCTATATCCATGTTCTGTTTACATTCTGGCTGAAAAGACCAACCTTGAAGCTGGAGGACAAAGTAACACTTGTATATAACAGATATAAATACAGATACAATACAGGTTTACTCTAATCACTGGTTTTACAATACATAAATGTTCTGGCACAAGGG